GCTTGAATTCTTCATAACCTCTGAATAGTGGGTGACCCAACGGGTCACAGGTTGTCTAGTATGTGTATATAAAGACCTAATTTGTTATTACAAAATATGTGTATATTGTTTAAATAGATACATTTATTTGCTTTTAGTGGCCTACGGGTGGGACCGTGAGAAAATAATCAATTATATTATTATTATTATTACTTTATTGTTTTACTTACAATCTGTTAGTGTTCCATTCTTTTTATTATTATTATTACTTTATTGTTTTACTTACAATCTGTTAGTGTTCCATTCTTTTTATTATTATTATTACTTTATTGTTTTACTTACGATCTGTTAGTGTTCCATTCTTTTTATTATTGTTATTACTTTATTGCTTTTCTTACAATCTGTTAGTGTTCCATTCTTTTTATTATTGTTACTTTATTGTTTTACTTACGATCTGTTAGTGTTCCATTCTTTTTATTATTACTTTGTTGTTTTACTTACGATCTGTTAGTGTTCTATTCTTTTATTGTTTTACATACGATCTGTTAGTGTTCCATTCTTTTTATTATTATTACCTTATTGTTTTACTTACAATCTGTTAGTTTTCCATTCTTTTTATTATTATTATTACTTTATTGTTTTTCTTACAATCTGTTAGTGTTTCATTCTTTTTATTATTATTACTTTATTGTTTTATTTACGATCTGTTAGTGTTCCATTCTTTTTATTATTACTTTGTTGTTTTACTTCTTTTATTATTATTATTACTTTATCGTTTTACTTACGATAGTGGCACAGTGGTATGTCTGCGGACTTACAACGCAAGAAACCGGGTTTCGATACTCGTGGTGAGCACAGATAGCCCTTGTGTAGCTTTGTGCATAGTTAAAAACAAACAAACTTACGGTCTGTTAGTGTTCCATTCTTATTACTTTATTGTTTTTCTTACAATATGTTAGAACGTGTTCCGTTCTTTTTTTATTATTATTACTTTATTGTTTTACTTACTATCTGTTGGTGTTCCATTCTTTTTATTATTATTACTTTATTGTTTTACTTACAATGTGTTAAAGAGTGTTCTATTCTTTTATTATTATTATTTTATTGTTTTACTTACAATGTGTTAAAGAGTGTTCTATTCTTTTATTATTATTATTTTATTGTTTCACTTACAATATGTTAGTGTTCCATTCTTTTTTATTATTATTATTACTTACAATCTGTTAAAGAGTGTTACATTCTTTTATTATTATTATTTTATTGTTTTACTTACAATATGTTAGTGTTCCATTCTTTTTTTTTATTATTACTTTATTGTTTTACTTACAATATGTTAGTGTTCCATTCTTTTTTTATTACTTTATTGTTTCACTTACAATATGTTAGTGTTCCATTCTTTTTTTATTACTTTATTGTTTCACTTACAATATGTTAGTGTTCCA